TAAGACCCCTCCTAGTGTGGAGGCTCTACCTTGCACACGTACACACCCACACATGCACACACACTCCTATCTCCATTCTCTGAGGACTCCAATCTGCTTCAGCCTTCACAGGTGCTAAAGGGTTAATTTATTTCTCATGTCCCCAAGTCACATACCATATTTCTTCAAATCTAAAATGACATTGATTTCAAGATGCTACATTTGTTTATGTACCATTAAAAAATTATAACGGCAAGAATCCAGAGATTGGTTAGGTCCTGATTTTAAAGATGTTTAGAAATGATACAGTGTGAGCCTTGCAATCAATGAAATGTATTTAAATTTTGAAGGGAGACTTTTGGAGGCAATACCTTAGTGACTCCAGTGGTAGAGTGTCAGGGATCTTGGCAGACTCCCGGGGGAGGGGTTTGGAGTCAGATGATGACTGTGCTGTCACACAGTCACATCATGTAGTAAACTGCTTATCTTACATCTCCAGTGGGACTGGCTCTAGGTGTGAAGATCCTATATATAACAAAGTGAAACATACACAAATAACATGCAATAAGAGGTGTAGACCTGGCTCTAGGAAATTCACAGATGTCCTGTGGTGCTGCACAAATCTCATTGACCAGAGAAGCCTGTTACACAAGTGTTCTGAGAACAACCTGTTGTCAATCTCTTTGCCTAAGCTCTGGGCTGAGGTAGAGACTTGAGTTCTAATTTTTGTTTGCTGTTCTCTAGCCCAGGGGCCACGTGTCCTAGGTGGGTGGTTTTTGCCCTTTGTCCTCAAAGTTAGAGTTCCTCAGGGGAGGCAAAAGACCATGGGCCTCGGGCTTCAATCAGATTAGCTCCACTTTTATGTCTTGGATATTGTACGTTTGTGATTTCCTATTCTTTTAAAAAAAGGTTTCTCTGTTAAAGGAAAGCTTGAAAACCATTGATTCAGATGAACATTATACTTCCCTTCACTGCTAAAATTCTCAGATTTATTATTTCGCTTTAAAAAGGTTGATTATAGGGAAATATTAGATGCTTTCTTCTTTCACAGTGGCATCAAGACAGGAGGGCCGAGGGTTATTCATGTGAGAGGCTGTTCTGTTCTAGCTGCTTCCTCCTTGCTGCTCCTGCTGAGGACTCGCCTGTAAGTGAACGCTTGGGAAGGGAGTAGATTTGCCCAGTGTCTGGTCTCCTATTGCTGCTGTAACAAATTACCACAAATTAAATGGCTTAAAACCAAATGTATTATTTTACAGTTTTTTAGGCTAGAAATCTGACATGGGCTAGAATAAAGATGTCCGCCGGGCTGCACTTCTTTCTGGAAGTTCTAGGGAAGAATCCATTTCCCTGCCTTTCACACTTTCTGGAGGCCACTTTTATTCCTTGGTTTATGACTCCTTCCTCCATCTCCTCTAGCAATGGCAAGTGAGTACTTTTCACATCTCCCTGGCTGTCTTCCACAGTCACATCTCACTCTGATTCTCTTCTGCCTCCCTCTTCCATGTCTAGGGATCCTTGTAATTACATTGAGCCCATTAAATTCAGTATAATCTTCCTATTTTAAGATCACTTGATTATCAATCTTTTCTATCTGCAATCCTAATTTCCCTATGCCACGGAATTATCATATTCACAGGTTCTGGGGATTAGGACAAAGCCCTCTTTGGGGGCCACTATTCTGTCTTCCACACTTAGAAATAGGAGTTGTGGTGTGACAGGGCCTGTGAGAATCAGAAAAAAAGAAGTGACACAAAACAAGCTGCAAAGCTGTAAGCTAGCCTATTTTGAGTTGTGATCTTATCCCCATGTTATTGCTGGATAATGTTTATTAAACAAGGGACCCAGGGAGTAGCGCATAAATATTTCATGTGGGACTGGTGTCACAGGTTGAGTTTCCCAGAAGCAGACCCAGAGATGGAAACTTCCATGAATGACATTTATTAGGAATACTCTTGGGATCAACACCTTTGGAATAGAAGGAAAGTGAGAAACAATTTGGGCAGAGAGAGAAATTGGGCTGCAAAGCAGTCTCAACATAGGCCTCCGCTGACCCCACAGGGAACTTTAAAGGCGAGGTGAGGGTGCCATACCTCATTGGATGTGGCTGCTCCAGGAAGGGGCGTGGGGGGTGACCTTGAGTGAGGCACCTCTCTTCAGCTAAGGCACTTCCTGGAGAGGTCTGTCTGCCAGCCAATCTCCAGCAGCACGAGGGAATAAGTTCACCAGTTCTAAAAAGAAGTCTGGGTGGTGCATCCCAATGCCCACTTTAAAAGGACTCTAGTATAGTGTGCTCATCAGTGAGCTAGAGAGAGCTCTCCAAGGCTGGGGTCCTAGAGCAGAGAAACTGTGGGTAGGAAATGTAGGGATTTGCCCAGACAGGCAAATAATTGATTCAGAAGGGATATTTTTCTTCTTTTACCTAGAACCCCAGTCCCTGCAGAACTCTGAGGTTCCCTACCCATAGAGAGACAGGCTGCCTGCTGGTCACCTCCTACTCATCACTGGAATCACAGACAGAACAAGTAGTGGCAACACTGGCCTGAAGATTCTGGACAGTGAATAGATTTACACAGAGTAAACAAGAAGTTGGGCTGAGTTTGACTTGATCTCTCACCCTAGAAACCCACACGCTGACAGCAGAGTCAATTCTGCAGTATTTATGTGTCTTGGTGGCTGCTGCTCATGGTGGCCATTTCCTATGATCACATCTCATTATTCTTTTTTTTTTTTTTTTTTTGAGACGGAGTTTCGCTCTTATTACCCAGGCTGGAGTGCAATGGCGTGATCTCGGCTCATTGCAACCTCCGTCTCCTGGGTTCAGGCAATTCTCCTGCCTCAGCTTCCCTAGTAGCTGGGACTACAGGCACGCGCCACCAAGCCCAGCTAATTTTTGTATTTTTAGTAGAGACGGGGTTTCACCATGTTGACCAGGATGGTCTCGATCTCTTGACCTCGTGATCCACCGGCCTTGGCCTCCCAAAGTGCTGGGATTACAGGCGTGAGCCACCGTGCCTGGCCTTCATTATTCTTTATTACCTTGTCAACTGGAGGAGGAAGGATATCATCATCAATATTCTGTGAATTCCTAAATTATTTCACTTCTTTCAAATGAACTCTCCCCCCAGCCTTGTGACCTTTGGCGTCCTGCAGAACTCTACACAGAGGCTGGGAGTCTAGGTTCTCCTTAAGTGAACGCAGAATAAGTGGCTCCCCACTCAGTGTCACCAGAAAAATCCTAACCCGTGAGAAACTTCCTACCCTGTTTTCTGATGTCTGAAGGCCCACCATTAGGCCACAAAATTTTCAACTGCAAGCTCTGATCCCAATGAAATGTAGACACTCTTGGAAAGGGTCACTATCTCTCAGGTGCATTTGAGATGTTTTCCTGGGGGAAAAAAATAGGATATACGTAGCAATGTTCCAAATACCAAAACCTCCCTAAGTCACCGTGAAAAGCCATTTGGCAATAATACCAAAAGCTTTTAAACGTTCACACCCTGACCTAGCATTTTCACTCCTGTGAATATAATCTAAGGAAACGGATCTCAATACTGAGAGGAATTTATACATAAGAATGGGCCAGGAGTGTAATCCCAGCACTTTGGGACGTCAAGGCGGGAGGATCACTTTAGGTGATCGCACTTACTAACCTGAATCCAGTGCCTGTAATCCCAGCCTTTGGGACATCAAGGTGGGAGGATCACTTTAGGTGATCGCACTTACTAACCTGAATCCAGTGCCTGTAATCCCAGCACTTTGGGACGTCAAGGGGGAGGGGGTGGATCACCTTACCTCAGGAGTTCAAGACCAGCCTGGCCAACATGGCAAAACCCCGTCTCTACTATAAGTACAAAAATTGGCGGGCGTGGTGGTGGGGGCCTGCAGTCCCAGCTACTCAGGAGGCCGAGGCAGGAGAATCGCTTGAACCCAGGAGGCAGAGGTTACAGTGAGCCAAGATCGCGCCATTCCACTCCAGCCTGGGTGACAAGGGGGGAGACTCCGTCTCAAAAAATAAATAAATAAATAAGATCACAGAAAATAATTTATAATGGGGAAGCTTTGGAAACCACTTGAACGTTAAACATTTGAGAGATGCTTAGAGAAGCGACAGCATATCAACCCAATTTTTAAAAGTCCTGCCATTAAAAATTATAGGTAGGAAGCATTTGTAATAACACGGTGGAAATGTTTATGTTACAGGGTGGAAAACAACCCTGGATTCAGGTTAGTATGTATGTGCATTTTACCACAGCTGTGTAGAAACAAATCCATACGTATGGACAATAGAATGAAGTGAAACACATGCAAATGGTAATCATACTGTCCTTAGGGGCCGAATCGGAACCACCCTATTAAAGCCATTGATCATCATTCGTATTTTTAAAATGCCTTGTGATGGCTGCAGTATTTCTGTAACGAATGATGTTTAAGCACGGAGCCCTACGCTGGCCGACGCGCGGGTGGGAGATGGGAGCCGCGCGCACGCTCAGGTGGCAGCGCAGGTGGCAGCAGAAGCTACCGGTGGAGGACCCTCTGCTGTCCCTGCAGGCGGAGGCTGGGCCGGGATTGGAGGCGTCACTCAGCCTCAGGCCGAGGACCCGCCGCGAAGCGCCGCCTCCGCGGGTTGATCCTCGGCAGCCGCCGTAGCGCGGAGATGAATCCGCGCGCCCCCAGGCTCCATGAGAACCGCCTGATGGCGCCCACCTGAGCGGCGCATCCTCAGGCCCTGGGCCTGGCCTCCACGCCTGTGAGAAGGCTCTGTGACAGTGCCCACCTCGTGGGCTGTGTGAGGGCCGAGTGAAATCGTGCATTTGCGGTAAGAAAGTGCTTATCACGGTGCCCAATCCCAATACGGGCTGCCAGCCTAAGGACAGAGGCACAGTCCCGGCCCAAAGGCCGGTTTTCATGTGAACAGTCGGACACCAGACGAAAAGGCCCCAGTCTACTCTGCTGCACGGAGCAGGGGACAGTGTGGACGGCGGAGAGGTCTGAAGTACCTTTAGAATAAGGATGGTGCTTCAGGGTTGTTAAAAGGATTAAATGAGATTATATTTAAAGGGATTAGCACGGTGGCTGGTGCTAAAATAAATCATTTTCTCTACTGTCACTGCCCTTATAACTAGACGCCTGCAGCAGCCTGCCGGTACGTCCCCCTCATTTGTAAAATGGAGTTAGTAGGTGTGTTGTGAGGATTGTGAAAATACTCATAGGAAGAACCTGGCGTTTAACTAGGATTGAGGAAATGGTAGCAATTCTTTCTTCACCAGGTGATCGACAAGCTGCACTGTGGTGGACACATACCTTTAGCACCGATTCTTATGAGTGCAGGTAAAGAGCGAGAGAAGACATACTGTGTAAGTCGAAGGAGCCAGCGGTACCCAGGCAGCCCCAAAACCTCAACAGTACTGTACCAGGGCCGTCTTTAGTGAATGAATCTCCTCTTTGGCCTGTTTGCTGTTTGTGGGCATTTGCTGCACCCATCAGTTCCCAAAGCTGGTCTCTAAAGCCAGGAGCTCAAGGACACTTGTCCCAATCCTAGAAAACAAGTGCAGCACACACCACGAGCAGCACCCCTAAAAGCCAGCCCTACTGGCAGTACAGGCCCTGCAGCCCCTAGGTAAGTGGCACACTCTAAGCTTCTTGGAAACAGCTAACTCAAGGCTTGACTGGCTTACTCCTATCTCCTCTCTTCAGGAAATCAGACTTTGTAAAGTAAGAGAGAAAAGAAAATTGACCTAAGTCCATTCCACTGTCTAATGAAATGTTTCACTTGCGTTTAAAGTGAATTGTGGGCTGGCGTGGAGGCTCATGTCTATAATCCCAACACTTGGGAGGCCAAGGCAGGCAGATTGCTTGAGCCCAGAAGTTTGAAACTAGTCTAGCAACATGGAAAAATCCCATCTCTACAAAAAATACAAAAATTAGCAGGACGTGATGGTGCATGTCTGTAGTCCTAACTGCTCCAGAGGCTGAGGCAGAGGATGGTTTGAGCCTGGGAGGTTGAGGCTGCAGTGAGCTGTAATCATGCCAGTACACTCCAGCCTGGGTGACAGAGTCAGATCCTGT